ATGCAGTATGTTTACTTGTACAGTGTTTGGAGGCCCCGAATGCATGTCCCAGGCCACTGTCCACGTTCACAGACTCCCTGCCCCCAGTCCTCATGCGTGCTGCCCCCACGAGGAATTCTGCACGTGGATGAATTAGGTCACCTCTCTCCTCTGCCCCATAGCAGTCCAGGACCCCCTTTCCACGCCCTCACCTGTGACGGCTTTATAATCGTGGCACCTTTTCTGCCTCTCTTCTCACTCCAAAGTCAAGAGCATTGTTTTTGAGGTTTCCAGGGAACGGAGATAATATGGCTGCACATGCACATTTTTTCCATGAATAAGCCATTTGCACACACTCTTGAACAGGTGTAAGCAATGCAGTAATTCCTAACTGTGCTCTCGAGTAATGACCCCACTTGGAACATCTAAGGGGTCAAGTTATGTTTATTAATTCCCCAGTCCCATTACCTCTTCCCAAAGAGATAATGGAGAAATGCAAAAAAAGACATAAAAAATAAAAACAAAAGATATTAGAAAAAGAAGAAAAGAGGGTAAAATGTCCTGGGTGCAGAAAAAACGGTTTCATTGCTACCGTACCTGCCACTGACACCACCAGGCTGAGCAGCGAAGAGAGACTCGGCGGGAGCTGCCGGTGGCTGGGGCTCCTCCCGAGGGCGCTCACGACGGATGCGGTGATGCCAGGTCCCGCGGCCGCTGCTCCCGGTGCCTGTTCACGTGAGCGGAGGCGGATCCCAGGGAACGTCCCCATAACTATTCTCTCGAGGGGAGACCGAGACTGACTTCTCACGCCCGGGGCTCCCTGACCAGCTGGCTCTGGTTGTTCTCGGAGATGCCTCGCGCCTGGCAGTCCCAGAGCCACAAGTCAGAGTCTAGCAGCACAAGGTCCCTTCCCAGAGCAGGCACGCCTCCCCAGGCGTGAGGCTGGGAGAACCAGCCTTGGACCCGGGGCGGGGAGGAGGGTGGGAGAAGGTGCGGGGCTTGCTGGGGAAAGAGACACATGCACCTCGTTGGCAGCCTCCGGTGTGAGCCTCATCTGTCTCAGGAGCCCCTGGCCCTTTGCCCCGGCTCACCTGCTAGGGTTGAAGACTCCTAAATTTATGTGGGATTCCAGCATGTTGGGATTCTAGCTGATGATGCTATAAATTTGTTATAAGTTTATCTTTTAGGCAAATGGAGAAACACCAGTTAAACACCCACAGATTTTTATTTAGTCCATGGGGGCTGCAGAGCGTGGTGTCGGGGCCCTGAGCTGAGGGTGCTGGTACTGAAGGGGTGAGGGGAGAGGAGCGGTCCTGTGTGTGCACGTGGGACGGAGCGCATGTGCATGTGTGTATCTGTGAGTGCAGGCACATGTGTGTGCCATGGGAACAGAGGGCACTCAGTTCCACAGACGAAGGGGACGTGGTTTGGGCCTGGACGTGGGTCCAGCAGCCCGGCTCTTGGACAGACTGTGCCCATGTTTCGGGGACAGTGATGTTTATGAGTGAAAATGGCTTTGCCGGTGGGAACACACGAACAGACCAGGTAAACAAGCAACTTTTCCCCACATTCTTCAAAAACTCCGGCAAAACCCCTTCCTTGTTCCCTCCCCAGTTCTGGATGACAGTTAGCGGCGCGTCCCTGCCAGAGCCTGAGCAGAGGCGGCAGCTGGGAGGTGGCCTCCTCTTTCTGTCTGTAGCACCATCCGCTGGGGTCCCCAGAGGCAGTGGGGACTCAGTGTTCTACTCTGCAAAATAAAGGCGGGGTGCCTTGCTAGAAATTGGGTTTGGGGACAGCCCAGAGTCCACTGAGTTCTCCAACATTTAGAGTTTTACGGCCACACCATGCGTGTGTGGTTGCTGTGGTAGTGCCCACGGAACTGGACGGTGACCGCCCCACAGAAGAATGTGGACTTGCTCCCAGGCCTGTGGGGGCAGCAGTCAGGGCCCGGGGGCAGCGGTCAGGGCCCGTGGCCATCAGGACACGGCCATGTCCCCTCTCCAGCCAGCAGGACGGCTTTGTTACTGCTTTGAAGAGATTCACTGTCTATGGGCCGTCTCTCAGAACATTCCCCGGACCCCGAGCCCCTCCCTGCCATGCACACACAGAAGGGGCCACCTGCAGCTGGCCCCCCTCGGCGTTCTCTCGGTTCACCTCTGAAGAGGCCAACACCCTCACCGAGCCACCCTCCTCTGAAAGGACAGCTCCCTTCACCCGCGGCTCTGGCCCCGGGCCAGCCCTTCCTGCCGGCCCCTGGTACCTCCTGCCCCGGAGAAGGTCGGCGCCTCTGCGCTGTGCTCAGAGCCTGCGTGTCACCCACCTCAGTCACGAGGGAATGTCCACGTGGCACAAGTCTGGGTGCCCTTGAGAGAGTAGAGTCTGTTTTTGCCCCATTGTGTGGCCCCCAGGGCTGTTTTGCCCACCCATCCTGCCCGCCCGCCCAGTGGGATGTTAGAGCAGGCATCCCTGCATTTCCCAGGTCAGGGTGCAACGCAGTGACATGCATGGATGGAATCTACCCCTCACAGGGAAGGGGCTTTGCACACGCTTAGCAGGTGTGGGGACAGGAAGTGTTAGAGGTGTGCTGAGTGTGCTCAGTCCCCAGGGAACAGAGAAGAGGCAGGTGAGTGGACCAGGTTTCTGTATTGGGGATCCCTGTCTCCTGGATGAAGAGATGAGTTTCAAACAGCAGCATCCTTGGGTTTTCATGGTGAATGTGGCAGTTAAATGTTAGAGGCTTTGTATATGTGCACACACATGTATATACACATATGTGCAGACACAGAAACATGTATACACATATGTGCACACACACTACATACACAGATGCACACACCACATATAAATGCTGCACACATGCACGCCCAAGCACATGCATATGCAACAATGTGCATGTGGCATAGAGACATTCACGAATGCGCACACATGTGTACATGTAGGCAATGACACACAAAGGCAACACACCGACATACATGTAGCCACACATATGCACACATGTGTGCACACAAAACACACATGCACACAGAACAGATATATGTGGTCACACCCCACCCCCATGTGCACACAACTGTGTGCAGACATGTGTACACATGCACACAAGTAGACACACAAATACATCTATACACATTCACACACATATGTATGCACATGTCTACACACAGACTATATAAACAGCCCATACCAATCAATGCGTTTCTGTATACTTCAGAAGGGAGAGAATTACCGGGACCTTCCAAAATAGCACATGTCTTTGGCCATTTTCCTCTGAGACTCTGAGTGACTTGGTGCATTTCCTGAGGGAGGTGATTCTTGGTTCATCTCTGGCAGCATGGTCACCACGAAGGTTTGGGATCCAGTAGCCTGACTTCTCTTCCTCGTGGTCAGCTGCCAGACCCCCCCAACTCGTGGTCAGCTGCCAGCCACCCTCCCAGCCTCGTGGTCAGCTGCCAGCCGCCCCCCCAGCCTCGTGGTCAGCTGCCAGCGACCCCCCCCCACGGCCTCGCGGTCAGCTGCTGGCCCCCCCCCCACGGCCTCACGGTCAGCTGCCGGCCCCCCCCCCCCAACGGCTTCGCGGTCAGCTGCCGGCCCCCCCCACAGCCTCGCGGTCAGCTGCTGGCCCCCACGGCCTCGTGGTCAGCTGCCGGCCCCCACGGCCCCGGCCCCACGCTCCGGCGCGGTTTCCCCATCTATACCATGTGGGCTGGGCCATCTCAGTGCTCTTTCTGGTCCCCACACTACGATTCTACTGTCACAATATTTCCATTTGACAAGTAAAGCGAGAGCTTCTAGGACATTCTGAAGAGAGCATTTCCCCTTTGCCCTCTTTCTCCCACCCCCGTCTGTGCCCCCCACAAGCACACCACCCACAGGCATGGAGTCCTTGGCACAAAACCAAACCAGGAACCGGGCACTTGTGGGGTGTGTGCTCGCCGCAGACAGGCCAGCGTGCTGGCGGCGTGGGGACGAGACCCTCCCTGTAGGCGCTGTCACCACCTCTGGGTGGGTGGCGGATGCGTGAATTGTGGACCGGCAGACGGTGCACTCCTCCGTGCACTGTGGTTGGAGGTGTGCTGAGTCACGGGGCTTTGCAAAGTCCCACAGAAGTCCCAGTGGTGCGTGCGACACTTCAGATGACTCTGCTAAGGACAGGGTCGTCCGGCCAAGCACATGTGCGCCCCCGGCAGTGCGCGGCTGCTAATTGGACTTGTGCGAGTGAGGCTTTCTTCAGCTGCCCCGGCAGGGACGCGTTTCCATCCGGCCGAAGCTGCAGATGGCCACCCTGTGTGGGCAGCACGGTCCCCATTGGGCCTTTGGGTGGGGAAGGTGGCGATTTGAATGTGTGGAGCCCTGCAGGAAGCTTGTCTCACAGCCAGTGGTTCCAGGGCCCGAGGAACTGGGTGTGGCTGGGAGGGACGCGGAGGAGCAGGTCCTCCTTCGGACAGAGGGCCGGGCTGCGGGATTGTCCTGGAATGCGCCCTGCTTGGCCAGCACCTCTGCTGGGTTCTCAGAAAGCCCTCGCCCTGGCTGGTGTGCAGGCCACCCCACTTCAGCGCCTCCCGCGTGGTACTGTGGGAGGCATCCATGGGCCTTGTGGCTTCTGCAAGTTAACATTACATTTCCTGGGGGTTCTGTTCCTCATCTGGAAAACCAGTCCTGAATGTCACTGCCTGGAAGTTACAAAAGTGAGGGGTGGGAAGGTGGGGAGGTGGGGAGGTGGGGATGGGAACGCGAATAAAAAACCCAAGTGGCACTGGGTTCCTGAGCCTCTCTCAGCTCTGCCTTTGTTCCCCACAGCCCTCGGCCCAGGTCCACGGCCACGGCCCACACCCACGGCCCACGGCCCACGGTACACTGTCCTTACTCAGATAAGCCATTGCTCTCCCAGTGCCCTGACATCCGAGAGCTGTGATGATGCTCTGAAGCCTTGCGAAGCCTGGCATGGTGCAGGGAGGGTGTAATGCCTTCCTCCTCTCTGAAAAGGAAACATCACTTTCTCTTCTCTGCCTCCCTTTTTCTCACAGACGGAGTGTTTGGAAGGTGTCAGAAGGTTCCGGTGACAGATGTCTACCACTATGAGGTGTCGCCGGGGGCCCAGCAGCATCTGAGGGCCGCCCTGCTGCAGCTGTCCCGCGCAGGTAGGCAGGAATGGAGCCGGGGGCTCCCGGGCGCTGTCCCCGCAGCGCTCAGCGACACTCTGCTTCTCCGAATTCTGAGGGTCGCGAGGAAGTAGGACCGACTCAGTGGCGGGGAGAAGGGCTGGAGCAGCGCCTGGGGGAGAGGCGGGCGGGGGCCGTGGTGTGCAGATCCACATTCGCTCTGCAGCGCTTCGCGGGCGAGCGGGCGCCGGCGGGCAGGTGGGGGCTGCTCACCGGGTGACCGTCCGGCCCCACCGCCCACCATGGAGAAAAGCAGTCACCTCTCTGCTGCTGTGGGCAAATTGTCGTCCTGCAGTTTTTCACAGGGGAGTCCTGTTAACTGTTTGCTCAGATAATTTTTAATTTTCAATAACTTGAACATTATGATGTAGAACTGTTATTTATAATTCACATATGCACGAGCCTGGACCAGAGGCCGACCCAGCTCAGCGTGGCCGGGAGAGGGCCTCAGGCCGACCCAGCTCAGCATGTAGGGGGGTGAATATTGATTAAATATTCACCCACTTTTGATTAGATTTGGGCTACACAGAATTATTTGTATTAATAGCCATCAGATTAAATATACGGTTTATGCACTCAGTTCACTTCCTAGCTCAGCGTGTGCGGGGCTCAGGCCGATCCAGCTCAGCATGTGGGGGGGGGAGGGGCTCAGGCCGATCCAGCTCAGCATGTGGGGGGCTCAGGCCGATCCAGCTCAGCATGTGGGGGGCTCAGGCCGATCCAGCTCAGCACGTGGGGGGCTCAGGCCGACCCAGCTCAGCGTGTGGGGAGCAATGCGAGGGGCTTGTGGGGTGAAGCCTCATGTGGTGGCCAGGCCTAGAGTGGGGCCTCCATGCCACTGTGGGTCCTGGGCTCTCGCGGGCTGTGTGTGGCTCCAGAGGAAGACGTGTGTGGTCCAGTGAATGAGGGGAACAGAACTGGCTGGGCTCCCCCAGCGGTGTCCGCAGTGTGCGTGGCTTCTTAAGGGCTGGGCAGTGCTGAGTGGCCGGGCTCAGCAGAAGCGGGTGCATTCAGGTCCTGTCCGTGATTAGCTACGGGGCTTGGCCGGCCACAGGTGGGGGAGCCACTGAGTGTCTCAGCCAGGCTGTGGTCTGCGCCTGGGCCGGAAGTCTGCAGGGCAGGCCACGGGGGGACGGTGGATGAGGCGGGTCATCCAGGACAAGGAGGGTGGGAGCACCGAGCTCCTGCAGAAGCCAGCCTCACGGGAGCTGGGGAAGCTGAGGGTGAGGGTGAGGCTGAGGGTTAGAGGGTGAGGGTTATGGTTAAGGGTAAGAGTGAGGCTGAGGCTGAGAGTGAAGATGAGGGTTAGGGTTAGAGTTAGGGTTAGAGGGTGGGGGTGAGGGTGAGGGTTGGAGAGCGAGGGTGAGGTAGGTGGCCAGCTGCGGGAAGGGTCTGTGGGTCAGAGCGCGTCGGCTGCGGAGACCCGTTTCCTCCGCATTATGGCTTGGGTCATGCAGAACCATAATAATCCAGTGAAGTCCCTGGTGACTGGGTGGTGTGCCGTCTCGCCTATGAAAGTCTGGTGCAGGCCAAAAGCAGTTTCTTCTTTTTTCAATCCTCCCCTGAGGATGTGTTTTTATTGATTTTTTTTTAGAGAGAGAGAGGAGAGAAACATCGACTGTAGAGAGCAACCTAGATTGGTTGCCTCCTGTACACGCCTGGAACACCGTCCCCGTGTCTGACAGGGACTGGGGCTGGGCCGGGGTCTGTGTGTTCAGTGAGCACCGGCTGACCCAGGTGGCGGTGTTCGGCCACCGGCGTGTGTCACCCCTCCTTGTGCGGCGGTGTGCGAGGACTCATGGTCTGGTGGTGCCCGTGTGTGGGACAGGGCCCAGGTCACCTGCATGTGAGCGTGAAGGTGGGTGCTTTGGTGTAATTTAGATTCTGCTCCCGATCTGCCTGTAACAGTCCTTACTGTGAGAGCTCTGGCGTGCCGCCCTCAGAGCCTGCTGTCACTGCTTCACTCCACATACGCACACACATGCATATGCACACACAAATGAGCACGCGTGGACTCACAGATGCACACATGTACAAACACACACACACCTGAACAGATGCACACTAACACCAACACAGATACATCCATGTGCACATATATACAAACACATATCCATATGCACACATGTTCAGCAACACAGGCACCAGTGTGCACACAGGACCGCATGTGCACACCCACATATCCATCCATGTGCATTCCCCCACATCCATGTACATGCACACAGATGCACACACACACATTACCACACATACACCAATGTGCACACATGTCGCATGCCTACAGACATACACATGCACGTGCGTACAAACACACAGATGTGTGTGTGCCCACGCCCTTTGGGGTCCCTCACCTAACACAGTGTTTCCCACGGAGCTGTCATCGCATTCCCTCCCCTGTGCTCCCTGCTCTCTGCCGCACTGTCGTCTGCGTCTCTGTTCCTCCTGGTCATGAGGCTCAGTGGTGGGTGACACCTCGAGGTGTGGAGGAGTCTGTCTCCTCCTGAGCTCGGCTCACAGGACGTGGCGGGCTTGGGGAAGGGAGCGTTTTCAGAGCCCCTGTGGTCACTCCATGCAGTCACTGCATTTGCCTGGCTGTGGCTGCATCCCAGTGTGTCCCGGACCCGGTGTGGGCACCTCCTGTGGGCGCGTCTCCGCGATGGGAGCGGCTTCCTCCGTACAGTCTATGTGCTGAGCGAGGGCAGTGCGCTCACTATTTAGCCACGCTCCCACAGGAGGCTTTGCTTCATGGAGGACACATTGTTCTCTCATGGACTAAATTTTAAAAATACATTTCACGTCTTCTGACAAGCCGTTGAAATTCCGTGTATAGTGTCATGCATTGGCATGTGCCTTACTTCCTGGCGGGAACCTCCCAACATATTGAGCTGGATGTCAAAAGCCAGAAAGTAAAGCTAAGGAAAATATCTAGCGCAGTGTTGTAGCTCCTTAAAGGAGAATGAGAAGGATCCCAAGGACAGGGAGCAGGGCAGAAAGCCAGTGTCACCAGGAGGTTGTAGAGCTGGGCAGGGGCCAGTGCTGCGACCCGGCTGCTCTGCCTGAGCGTCTGGAACCGCGGCTCAGTGAGGTGGCCTTGGCTTCTGGGGTTCCCTCCGTGGGTGGCTTCTGCTTGCCGTCCACCTGCCCCTTCCCACCTGCCCCTACCCACCTGCCCCTTCCCACCTGCCCCTACCCACCTGTACTTGCCCACCTGCCCCTTCCCACCTGTCCCTTCCCACCTGTCCCTTCCCACCAGCCCCTTCCCACTTGCACCTGCCCACCTGCCCCTTCCCACCTGTCCCTTCCCACCTGCCCCTTCCCACCAGCCCCTTCCCACCTGCCCCTTCCCACCTGTACCTGCCCACCTGCCCCTTCCCACCTGCACCTTCCCACCTGCACCTTCTCACTTGTCTTCTGTTGCACCTTGGAAATCAGGGTCCTGCCTTATTGCTAAAGTCTGGCCGAGCTCACCTGCCCCAACTCCAGGTGGATGAGTGCTGTGGGGTGGAGTGCGGGGATGTGCCCATGGTAGTCAATGCAGTCACAAAGCTGCTATTCAGGTGGACAGTCACACATGTGGGGAGATGGCAGAGGGACCGCTAAGGGCGGGAAGTGGAAGGTCACGAAGGGGCCGTGAGTGGCAGACAGTGGTCCACTGTTTCCAGTACCTACCCTCCCCACCTGCTCCAGGGCACTTCCAGCTTTGCCAAGTCTGGGGCGTTTCTGCGAAAGGAGGTGCTGTTAAAACCACCCGGCACCATGCTTTCACCGCAGAAGTGTATGAGGCCAGATGTGAGGAAAGGGGGCCGGAGGCAACACCATGGACTTTGGAGAACCAGTGGCATCAAAAGTCAAGGCATCTGTCTGCTTATGCATCTGTTGCATTCATTTATCTGTGTATTTGCTGACATGTCACTGCGCGGGGAGGGAGGCTTGAGCAGAGGTGAGGGAAGAAGAAGTCCTGGTTGGACTTTCAGGAGAAGACTGGAAAGTAAAGTAACATTTGGGCAAAAGGACAGGTACAAGTGCAGATACAGCCCAAGGGCCATCCTAGTGGGGCATCTTCCTCTTGATAGTCCTCAACTGACTTGAGTTCTGGACGCTGCTGATAATGAAACATGGCCGATGTCATCAGCTGCACAGAGACTCTGCTGTCACTCACCTATGCTCACTCTCAGCCAGCAAACCTCTGCTGCAGATGTGCTGTTCAGCCAGACAGACCCAGGACATACCCCGCCTCCCTGGGCCCAGGCCTGGCAGACAGACCCTAGGCCCCAGGTCCCCATGGAAGCTCCTTTGTCCCAGAATGGATGCAGGTAGCCAGCCTGCTGCTCACCGCTTGGGGCTTGGGCTTGAAAAACAATTTCTATTTTTTAGCCCTGTCTAAAAAAAAGACAGAAAACTTCCCTTACACAGTGAAAGCAATAGATTTGCAAGTCCATGGAGCACAGGGAGTCCAAAACAAAATTAACCCAAAGAGTCCCACACCAAGACATCATAATTAAAATGCCAGAGGTCAAAGACAAATAGATAATCTTAAAAGCAGCAAGAGAACAGCAGTTAGTTACCTACAAGGGAGTGCCCAGCCCACACAACTCAGCTGATTTCTCAACAGAAACTTTTCAGGCCAGAAGGGAGTGGCAAGAAATATTCAAAGTGATGAATTGGAAGGACCTGCAACCAAGATTACTCTACCCAGCAAAGCTATCATTTAGAACTGAAGGTCAGATAAAGAGCTTCACAGACAAGAAGTTGATCGCTGGCAAACCAGTATTTCATGAAATGTTAAAAGGTCTTCTTTAAGGAGAAGAAGAAAAAAAAGGATAAAAAATATGGCAATAAAATGGCAATAAATACATATCTATCAACAATTGAATCTAAAAATCAAAATAAAGGAACAAAGAATCTAATGAACAAATAGACTGATAAGTAAAATAGAACCAGAGGCATGGAACCATGGAGCAGACTGATGTATCTCAGAG